TATATACATAAATACATACATACAATATATATAGTATATATAAGTATATACACACACATATACATACATACATACTGTAGTGCTGGAAAAATTTAAGAGATCACTTTAAAATGATCAGTTCCTGTGATTTTACTCCTTACAGATATATGTTTGAGTGAAATTAACATTATTGTTTTATTCTTGAAACTACTGACAACATGCCTCCGAAATTCCAAGTAAAAATTTAGTATTTATTTGCAGAAATTGAGAAATGGTCAAAATGACTACAAATATGTAGTGCATTCATTTAGAAACAACAATACTAATGTTTTAACTCAAAGAGTTAAAAAGTATTTGGTTGGAATGCTTTCAACCGAATACAGGGAAACTATGAAATGGTCTCTTAATTTTGTCATACACGTTATAAACACACACACACACACACACACACACATATAAACTGTACATTTACCTCAGGGAACTGACCTTGTCTTTGAATTCTCCACCAAACCCAAACTGATTCTCAGGTTTTCCATCAGGCACCTTATATTTTCTGAACCAGTCAACGGTTGCCTCTAAATGACCTGGTCGGCTCTTTCGAACGTCCTCTAAACCTGACAGGCAAAAAATGATTATTTAGAGGTAAGAAGCTAAAGACTTAACTTCTTAAAATAAATATATTTACACTTGACATATAAACACCTAAAAGCAGCAAAAACACAGTTTACGGTAAACAATGCTGATTCAAAATACTAAGAAATACTACAAAGGGGAAAAAAACAAGACAAATTTCAGTGAATAAAAATAAAATCATGTTGACAATAAAAACTCCACTGAGTGTTTATTGTAGGGCGAGAATTGTATTAAGTCAATCTAACATTTACTTTATTTAGGAGTTTAGTATGCAATCAAAACTTTTTTTCTTATTTGCTTTGGTTTCTTRCTTTGTCATTATTATTATTTAATGTTTATCAATTAAGCATACAGTTTTCAATAATTAAAAAAACCCTGTGTTGACTAAGAAATAGAAAATATTCTGTCAGATTCAAGGTGCTATAATTTGCCTTTTTTAACACCCACAGTTCAAGTTTGCAGCATCTGGGTCTTTTGCATTGATAGCGATGACCTTCCAGTCCATTTCTCCCTCATCAATCATTGCCAAGATGCCCAGAACTTTGACTTGGATAACTTGACCCGGAGAGCACACCTGAAGATCAAATAAAAAGTTGACAGCTATAAATACAAATCGAGAACAAAGAACTGCTACAGTTAAGAGCAGGAAGGAGTACACTGCATGACTGTTCTGAGTGGTCCCACCTGCGTGCCGATGTCACAAACATCAAGAGGGTCATTATCACCACAGCAGCTTGTCTCTTTGTCTTCATGGTTTGGGTCCTCCCAGGTCTTTAACAAGAAAGAGTTCAAAAGCAGACGAGAAATTAAAACTGTTCTGGAGGAAAAAAAAATCTTTTACACCAGATCTCCTTCCTGATGCAACCTGGGCTTTGAGACTGTGGTCCTGAATGTACAGTACTAAATACACATCTCAATTAAAAGGTTGCAATGTGTCCCTCCCTCACCTGTGGGAGTGCTCCATAGTTCCAGATGTAACCTTTATGTGGAAATATGTTGGCAACATATCGGAGCTTCCCTTTCTTCACATCTTGTTTGATAGGATTCAGTGGTTCCTTTGTTGCAATCTGGTACAAGGGATTTAGAAATTCAGGGGTCATTTTCAGCATTTCTGTGTATCGGATTTAAAAAGAAAAAGTTTGGGACTTGCATGGCAATCGAAAATAAAACATCCATAACATTTATTTTTAAAGTTAGGATGCACCACCTTATTGTGATGACATTTGTCTTGTTCTGTATATTGAGCCAATCTACAATATTCAGTTTAATTCCAATTATTACCCTCGTTGACGAAAGCTAAAAGTCAATGATAGTGAATCTGCCTGTTAGCAAAGTACTTCATGAACCACTGGGCATTTTTGAAGAAGTTACCATTGGATGCATAAATATAAAAAAGCAAAGATATCCAAAGGAAAAAAAGACAAATATATATAAATTCTTAATGCAGATGTATATGTGGACTCTTTACTTACCTCCATTTTTGCATTTGACCACCGAGGCACCTCCACCACCATGTTATAAAGAACCTGAAAATAAATACAATCACCAAATAAGTAAAAAATGCTGACAAGAATATTTTTAGGAGATCAAACAGACTTTGAATCAACTGGTACCTCATTTTCATTCTTGGGTTTTTTAGCTGGTACGTCATCTTTCTATTAGGACAAAAAAACATTATATAGACTTCCTAATTTCTACGTTATGTTTTGGTAAAAAACTGTTCAAGACTTACCAGGTCTGACTCTGCTATCAATGGAATGTCATGGAATGGTGAAATGTATTTCCCATCAGAGGTTTCTGAAATAAAATGATAAACATGAATCTTAAAAAAATCTCCAAAGTGTTAACAGCAAATAATTACACTCTGCATAGTAATTTGTCGTTTAAACATATGTGTATATTGGAACTATTGCATAGAAATCTAAATAAAATAAAAAGCAATCTATAAGAAAATAAAGGGCTTTTACAATTAGTCAGTTTCTGTCAAAGCCCAAGAAAACTGATTAAATGTCTAGAATGAAATATTCCATTTGTTTATTTTATTAAGTTTGCATTACGTCATCCTACGTGCCTACAAATGCGGAAGTAGCACTTGTACTACGTTCTCTTTAATAGTAAATTCGTTTATTTTGTTCACTTAAAACTGGCAGGATGGCAATTTTTAATATTCGATACTAAACTAGTGCAGCAACAAAGCACAACACCACAAAGGTCAAACATTCACACTCACTGCAGCTGTTTGTGTTCACCTGTCTGAGACACCAGCTGTTCATGATATAACTACTTAAATTAAACATTACAATAAAGGTTAAACACACGTTCTCTCCAGCGTCACCGTAAAACTTAACTTACTAAAATAAAGGCGATAGTCGGGGGAATTTGGACGTCCTCTCTGCTCCGTTTCATAGTGCATCATTTTTCTGAAATAATGCAAATATGGTACAACTGCGGCTTGTGCAAAAACTTTATTACAAGAAGCAGAAAACGGACTCAAAAATGGCACCAAGCAGTTCAGCGAGGAGCGAAGCAACTGAGGTGTCATTATTCTACACACTTTTCTTCGCTCTCACTTCCTGCTTCCTGTCCGCGTTCCAAAACTTCTGGTCTGGGATTTTCAAAGTAAAAGCGTCACATTGAAAATAATGTTCAGCTCATTTTTGCTGAGCACTTGAATCC